AATGCGAAGAAGGTTTGTTTTTTAAGTTCAGCAGAATTTTTCGTTAGTTAGAGCATGCATCTGGACTTTGAAATGGATGGGTAAGAATTATGTTAGACGAATTTTTTGTTTGGTGACAGACCATGCTATCTATTTTTCTGGACATTGCTATTCTATTCAAAATGTATAATAATTTAAAAGGATAGTACTGTTATGTGATTATGAAGGTTGAGTCAGAAAGCCTATAAGGGGATTTGTGACCTATTAGTCATTGTTGTGGCCTGTGTGTTCATCGGCGACCAAGTATTTTTTTATTTGTGACCAAAGCTCAGGCATTGATATACATTTGGAGGGGAACTTTTGCAATTGTTTGTGTAAATCTCCTTTTCAAGTTCATATTCATGTTGTGACCTTTATAACAATGTGTGACCAATTACTTATTCTGTGTTATGACCAATGCGCAGGCTTGGAGATTCATTATACCAGAGAATAGTTGGTTTCCCGGTAAAATCACGATTACACCCATGAAGGGTGTGCTGTCTAATTTCAAAGCTAACCTTAATGAAGACCAACGGCGTATACTGCAAAACACGTGTTGATACTTCATGGAATGCGATGAAATTGCTGTACAGTCGCAGTTGATACACTATTTCCTATGGGAGGTTTGTAAGATTCTCTGTGTCGAAATTTTGTTTGGTGACTGGTCTTAGATACTTTGGTGATGTGGATATGAATCGGTTGGAGAAGACTCCCTCGCGTTTGAAAATGAGATACTTTAGTAACCTGAAGGTGGTGACACATGCGGATGTAAAGGAAAGATTTCTTTTTGCGGGTGACATTCCAGATGAGGATGTTTAAAGGCTTGGTGCGTTGTATTTCATTACTTCGTACCTGTATCCAAGAGACTATAAGAACATTGTTGAATGCTATATGTTTGTTCTAGTAGAGGATTTTAATCTGATGGACTCGTTCCCATGGGATAAATCACTCTTTGAGACACTAATTAGTTCATTGAGGGAGGGTTTGAGCAAGAGAACGACCCATTATAGACTACGAGGTCTTCTAATAGCATTTCAAGTATGGATTTACGAGACGATCCCTACCCTCCATGGATATGTAGCAACAAGGACCTCAAGAACGTATCCCCGAATAATGAATTGGACGGCAGACGATCACCCACCTGCTGCTAAACTTGATGGACATGATTGCTTCTGTAATCCTGAAGTAATTATCTTAACACCATTTACTATACGTCAATGCATTTCAAATGTGCTTATCCTTAAGTCACAAGTCGTAACACAGAACTTAAATAGTTGTGTATCTAAGTCAGATATTATACACATCAAGTTACAACATATGTTCATTGACTCACAATTAATAATATACAGGTCACAGAACACACTCATGACATGCATCACACGGTTATGACCAGACATATACCCAGTTACTGTTACAGCTCATTGCTTGGGTTTATTATTTTGTACATCGATGTAGTGTGCTGACATTACAATGTACCTTTGCTTGGAATGGCAGATGGAAATACGTGACCTGGACCCTTCAAACATGGAAATGGCAATGCCGTACATGTATGAAGTGCAATATATCAAGCCTGTTCAACTGGAACGTACACGAGGGAAAAAGAGAAAGGGAGGTATGGTAGATAGATCAAGTCATTCCGTCAGGGCAACTAGGAAGCCGAGTTACTCGAGTGAAAAAACATTTACGTCGTTGTTTATGATAACAGATGGTAGACTTGGTCACTCTGATGTGCCTCTCGACGATGGTGATGATGATTTTGTTGACACCCCACCCAGATGGCAGGGAACAACATTCAATGCCAATTCGCCTAATATGGCGGATCAACCGGCGCCAAATGATGTAAGTTGTTAAATAATGTCAGTTGTGGGTCACAGGTCACATTTTAGAACTAACGATATTTCTGTCAATTCATTACGAATCACAGGTTATTCCACCTTTTGCTGTTTTCATGAGTTGTCGTGTACACACGTCACATGTATTAGAAACATGTCACATAACAGGTCACATGTCACAGATTATGTCACATTCAGTTATTATTCCTGGTGTAACATTGTAGTTCGTTTCTATGTCACAGTTTATAGGCCATTGATCTGTCAATTCATTATGGGTCGCAGGCATCTGGACTATAGATGTTTTCACCATTGTATTGCCACTAGTAATGGATAGTCATGTCGTGCAGGAGGTTGACGAAATGCGAAAATAGTTTTTCAAACAATTAACTGAACTCCAAACTGAGAATCGTCAAATGAGTGTGGCAATCGATGCGATGAAGTCAGAGATCTCGTCGCTCAAGCATGATCAGCAAAACAAATTGAACAATATTGTCCACATGCAAGGTGAAACCCGTACAGACTTGATCGACATCAGATCGAACTTGCAGTTTATGACCGAATCCGTGACCGCCTTGATTTCTAATTCCATGGAAGAAATCCTGACCAAATTCAAAGATAAGTCTGGGCTAAACATTGTCAGAGATTATGAACCTTTGGACAAGGTAATCAACATACCATGTGATCTCATAAAATGATATATGTTCATTTGTCGTATGAACTTTAACTATGATTATACATTTTATGTTACAGGTTGGAGATGCCGAAATAACAGTTGATTCTAAAGACAAGGGTAAGATGGAAACCGACGTTGACGTTGAATTTTCATATAGCCTACAACCTCCATCATTCGATCTGGGTGTTTGTTCCATGCAACCAATACCCACAGAACCAACGAAACTGAAAAAGGTGGAAATGTATGTTGCGTCTGTCGTATATGATGTTCTGAAGGACACAGAATCTGTTGAGAAGGTGGTAAGCCCAGATAATTCTGTTAGATATGTAAACTACTGTACGTTGCATGTTTCAGCAAGTCACAGTCCATATCAAATTAATATGCAGGAGTCTCTTGTTTCTGCGCCAAGTTCTGGATTGCCCGTTAAGAGGGCTCCTAGGCTGGCTAAAGCACTTCAATCTCCGTATATTCATGAAGGAAAGTGAAACAAGCATTCTAATAATGTCATAATCTTCCAACACTACAATCAGTCTATGGACCATGCTGATATTGCTGACTTTCAGAGTTGGTTCCAGAGAGGATATAAGCTACATAACAAGTATGATTTATTTTTTGCATATCATTATAATTAATTCATGTACGAATATTCAATCAAGCTTTCTTTGCAGGAAAAATTTTAATGACCGAGATGATCGTATTCATCCACCTTTTCTTGTTGGTCAGTTTCTCGTCGGAAATAAAACATGGTGGTACGAACTAGTGTCTAGGGATGTGTCACTGAGTAGTTCGGTATGTATCCTTTTGTAAGTCTCAATTCATATGAGTAGGTCATAGATTCCATGGTCATGGTTATAGCCAATTAACTATATGTCACTGCCACGTCCCTCTTACATTCCAGCGTCTATAAAGTTCGCAATGCGATACACGTGTTTCATATGTCCCAATGCAAGTCACATTTTTGTATGAATAATAGGTCACATATAATGGTCATAGACCATTTGAGGTTGGTTACAGACAAGGCGAATGTGTCACAGTTTATTTACAGAATGCACTCCAGCATATTTTCTGGTCACATTTCACCTTGCACAATTTAGAAGATGGTGGTACGAAGTTGTGTCTAGGAATGGGTCACTGAGTTGTTCGGTATGTATCTATTTGTAAGTCTCAATTCATATGAGTATGTCATACGTTCCATGGTCATGGTCACAGCCAACTACTTATATGTCACTGTCCACATCCTTCTTACATTCAATTTATAAAGTTCGCAATGCCTTATGCATGGTTCTTATGTCCCAATCAGGTCACATTTTGGTATGCATACATGTAATGGTCACAGACCATTTGCGATTGGTCACAGATAACGGTGAATAGGTTACAATCATTTACAGAGTGCACTCAAGCATATTTTCTGGTCACAATTCACCCTGCACAATTTATATGTTAATTCAATCTCACAGCTTTCCATTTTTTTAGCATATGGATGTGTGCTTTTACTACATAAGGCAGTTAGCAAGTAATGGCAAAAATATCAAGGTCATCGCCACCACAACCGACACGTTGTTTCAAGCTAAGCTGAAGAACATGTACCACAAGTTCAAGCAAGATCCAGAGGTAATTGTCACGGATGAGAGACTCATTGACGACATCACAGGTGCACGAATTTCACTGAGCAAACCTTGGGCAGAAGTGGACCTTGTGTTCATGCCCATTCTGCCTACAAACAAAGCGCATTGGATGCTTGCAGTGCTTGATATCAAAAAGCAGATCTTACTTGTATTAAATTCGACAAGAAAAACATACAGTGACATCAAGGTCCTTAATGGAATTGATCCTTTCGTCAAAATGATCCCTCACCTCATGGACCGTATTGAAATTTGGAGAAAGGATTCGGATCCATCTGCTGACGATTCCAAAGAGTTGAAGGTGGTGCTTAATTCCTCCGTTCCGCAACAGAATAATGGGCATTTTTGTCATCGAGAATTTAAACATTCTGAAGTAATATGATTCTACACATACTGGACTGGAATTTTTTTCACTTTGCAGGCATAACTGTGGCATATATGTGATTAAATATGCCGAGTACATGCTTCATGATGATTTAGGATCGATGCCGATGAAGTTTTATGCGGCTAGAGCCCGTCTGAATGTTGCATCATTGTTATTCAAGCACCGTGAAATCAGTACAGAGAGGAAGACGTTGCTGCCAACCGGTGGAGATAGTATAGTTATTGAGTGACATTAGAGGTATAGTTTGAAAATGCAGTAGAATGGAATGTGAAGTGTGGTTATGGATAATTTTTTTGTTTACTTTGAACAAGGGTGTTGTGTTCTGAGGATACTCTTTTGTATTTGAATTAAGCAACAGTATTTAAGCAATAGTTTGAGTTTTGGATTTCATGTGTCTTGAAATTATGTTTTGAATGTATTACTCGGCTTGAGATATTGCGTCACATAAAAAGTCACCTAACATGTCACGATCAGTATAATATTCTTTGTGCACAACCATAGTTCACTGCAAAGGTCACAGGCAACTGTAAACAGGTCACAGAAGAAGTCACCGACCAAGTCACAGTTTGATGTACGTTGTTCATATCACTGACAACTGGAAACAAGTCATAGCAGATGAACACATGTTCCAAATCCTTATGCACAGTCCTTGCCAATGGGTCACAGTACGGGTCACATTTCACATAAAAGGTCACCTAACATGTCACAATAAGTATAATATTCTTCGTGCACAATCATAGTTCGCTGCAAAGGTCACAGGCAACTGAAAACAGGTCACAGTAGAGATCACATCTTCCAATTCCTTATGCACAATCTCTTACCAATGGGTTCCAGTACGGGTCACATGTCAAATAAGAAGTCACCAAAAATGTCACAATAAGTATAATATTCATCTTGCACAACCACAGTTCGTAGCGAAGGTCACAGGTCAATGTTCAAGGTTCACATAACATCTAACAGACCATTTTTTACCAGTGACACCCCAAACTCGTTTATTATGAAGTGAATGTAACAACCCCCCCCCTCGGTGAAAGTTCGCACTGTAATGGTCACAACACACGTTACAGATTCTTTTAGGGTATACCCAATCCCCACCAGTCATGTTTGCTTGTATTTAAAAACGTGTTCATGTGGAAAGAACATTACAAGTACAATAGTAAAACATCCTTATTATAAAGGTTTGAACTTGAAAATGTTGTTATTAAATAAATATTTGTGTCCTCTAACAAATTGTGTCTGATATTACGTTCAAACAATGAATGAAAAAGTAAACCAACTGTCTTAACGGAACCAAACTGTTGCAAGTTCCGTGATATGTATCATCAGTTGACTTCCTTATCTTTTCTTTGTTTTTTCGATTGAATCTGACTTAATGGAACCAAACTGCTACAAGTTCTGCAATTGTGACCACTTTCACTGCAACGACCGCATTTGACAGGCATGTTATCTTCAACTGCAGATCTAAACCTCTTCTCAGTAGGCCTTCCGCAACTTCGCTTTTGATTAGGTGGTAACACGACTATGTTCTCAAAGTCTTTGGACACTATCCATTCATTTGGATTTCCTACAGGGAAAAAAGTTTCGTTGTAAGTACTCTTGTATGCTTCTCTCGTGTAACAATATGAACAAAACTCATATGGATCCATCTTCACACTTGCAATCACAGCCAGAGCGTGTGGACATGGTAGTTGATCAACTTGATGCATCCTACACGTGCATGTACGTCCTTCTATATCAACAAAAAAAGTTAAATTTTCACAGCTGGCTGAGAACATTGCCTGATTAATATGCACAACCTACAACCAAAAAATAATATAACAAATGTCACTAAGAAGTTAGCCACAACGAACAAGTTACAGGTCACAGATAACATTTCAGGCACAAATGTTGACATTACCCTCAAGTTTCTCATATCCGTGCTCATTTCCCCCATTTGTTTCTCATACTTGCTTGACAAGGTTGTGAAAATGACTTGCATGGATTCCCGATGTCTACAAAACCACGACTGTATGGTTTGTCGCAATGACTCCAACAAAGTTACAATGGGATAGTTCTTGGCAGATTTTGTGACGGCATTAACCGACTCTACTATATTCGATGTCATTGTAGAATATCGATTCGTTGGCATGTGGAATCGTGACCATTTAGCGGGTTCAACACCGTCCTACAAACATAAATATGATTATCTGTTAATCATAAATTTTCACAATACTGTAATAAATGTATGCGTAAGAATATAACATGGTGGTATATGTAATATATTACCATGTAACCCCTTATCTTTCCATTAATCGCGTCGAGCTGTTGCATGTTATATTCGTATTCTGACAACGTATAGGCATGAACAGCTGAATTCAATGTTTGCGGTATATTTTTACCCGATTTTCCATAACGTGACTTTAGATTTTAAAGTAGATGATACGAACAAATTCCATGACATGTTCCTGGATGCACCTTCTCAATAGCATTTTTTATGCTATTATGGCGATCCGATACGAAGCACAACCCTTCTCTATAGCCGTACGCCTTCCTCAAATTTTTGAAGAACCATGTCCACGAGGCATCATTCTCACTATCCCCAATCCCGAAAGCAAATATGTATATGCTATTATTTGCATCCTGTGTACATGCAGTAAATAACGTCCCACCATAGTGTCCATTTAAGTACGTGCCATCAACCACAACAGCTGACCTACAATGTCCCCAACCTCGAATTGATGCGCCTAGCGCCATGAAGCAATATTTGAACCTTCTGTGACCATCAAGCTCCAGATCTGTGACCATTCCAGGATTTATATGTTGCAACATGGCAAAGAATCTTGGTATATTATTAAAAGAATCTGCTGGATCACCCCTAATCAGTTTCAAAGTTTCCTCCCAAGACCTCCACGCTTTCACATAATTCAACGACAGTCCATACGTATGCAACACGTCATTACGTATATCATTTGGGATATACAGAGTGCGTGACGATGTGTACTTATATTTTATGCAGTGCAACACGAGTGCTTTTGTTGCTTGCCTATGAGAACCAAGTACAATGTTAGAAGCACATCTGTGACCTTCTACAATATGCCTAATTTTAAACAAGTCCATTCTAGCCATCCTAGATGCTCTACAGATCCAATCACACTCGTCATGTGAACACTTGACAAGATAGTCCCTCTTATCTGACCGAACAACCACATATTCAAACATGTTTTGGATAGCATAAAGGGACAAGCTCAGCTTCATGATCTCTTTGTTACGAAAACCGTCCCCATCTCTACATCCCTAGCGTTGGAGACCGATACAACCATGACCTCATGCTCATAGTTATCACACAACGGTTCTATTATCGGCCCGCATATATCTGATGACATATCCATCAATGAAAATTTCGGTCCACTGGGTTCCACACCAAATGGTAACATTGCATTGTTATGTTGGCTATCTTCTTCCGTGACCTCAATGATGATTGGATATTTGGATGGGTCACGTTCCATATCTTTCAACGCCATGTATGACAACACATTATTGTCATTCTTGATCACAATTGGAGGCAGTTCACTATTCAAAACATACTTCATTGTAACTGCTACTTCAGTGGGATCCAATCCAATCTCAGCATAACTGTATCCACCAGTTGCATGTACCCGCAATTACGATCGATTAAGACCAACAAAGGCTCTGAGCCATTCAATAGGCAAACATGTATGTATCCCATTTCTACAACATCAACTAGAATAATGTCAATTACAAAACAAGGTGTAGGTCACAACTAATGAATAACACAGATTATGACACGGGGTCACATTTTGTGTGTATCATCAAATTCGTCGCAGTTTCATTGCAAATTGGAACAGGTCACGGCATCATGTCACATATGAGTCAAAGTTTCAAATGGAGCACAATACTATTATTACAGCAAATATGTAAAAGTTTCAAATGAAAATGAAGATCAGGTCAGAGCATCAAGTCACAGATATTGAAAAGGAGTCACAATATGTAGATGAGAGGAAATGCGTCACCAATTATAATGCAATTAAGATCACAGTCATAATTCACATATAACAGGGATTCCATCGCAATGGTTATCAGGCAGCAAGCGGATTGTGAGATTAATTGATTTTCAATAACGTACCCGATGAAAATAGAAACCCCTGAATACGACGACGACTGCTGAATTGGATGCTGTTCAGACGAATCCGTTGACTAATTTGCTGTTAAGCGATCGTCTTTCCCCAACTGTGACCCGGATTATGCAATCGACGTCAATCGAAGGAATTTCGTCGACAAAAAAAAAAAAAGCAAATTCAGTTTTTTTGTCGTCAGATTGGAGATGAAACATTTTATTTCAGGAAAGTGAATCTGTTATGATACAGACTGGCGTTGATGGAGATATGTGTGTTGATGGAAATACGCTCCTAGTTTTTAGGAAAGAGATTTTGACATACAGTTGTTTATGAAATCTGATTTCAGAAACTGTAAACATGTTACCTTATTTTTGAATTGGGCCAAATTTACTATCGGTAATACGAATTTTTCCCAATTAACAATCATGTAGCTTTTATAAGTTTTAACTACGAACTAAGCCCATGTTTGAGGCCCATTTTTTTGAAAGAAAAATACATTATTAAGCAGTGATTTGATATCATTTCAACCATATATTTTTTAATAAAATAATATTACACGCAAATTCAAAATTTTTGCTACCACACATTTTCCATCAAAATACTATTCAAAAATGCATTTTTGTGAAAAGAATGGGATCTAACAAGGGCTAAGTGCCTGATTTTGATTATAAGCAGTTTTCTTTAGTACTTTAAAATGAATAATCTTGTTAGATGTTCACATTCCTATTTATCAAGAAAGTAAATATAGATTGTGTTATATACACATGGACTTATAATTTTTTTCTTACTTTTAATCATATATTTTCAAAAAATCACTTTTTACAAATTATATTCTTAAAAAATTTCCATCAAACGAACATTAAGCCTCCACTTGGTGGGGATTAAAATCAGATTAAAATTTAATAAAATATGTGGCTAAAAAGTTGTTAATCTCATAAAATGTGCAGTTAAAATTAATTATTAATTTTGACTTAAATTAAAATTTGAATATGAATTTTCACCTAACATGAACAATATTATTTTCAGGAAATAAGGGAATCTAGGAAGAGTAAAAAAGTATATAAAAGTATTTCATTTATATTTTTAGAAAGGTGTGCAAAAAAAGCATCAAAGGTACATGCACAGAGTAGTTACTTCGTCAACTAGCGAAGTCTTTAATGGAGATGCCACTGCATTGAGAATCCAAAAATTTTGAACTATGGTATGTGTAAAAAAGCACAAAGGAAAAGCAAGAGAAAGTATTACTTACTTTCAAAGCTTTTAATCCTATAAAGCAATTCGATTAATAGTGTTATTTGTCGCATAGGATTTCACTAGAACAAGAAGAGACTAATGTGATTCTATATGTACGTGTCTATCTATAGTGTTCTCGTAATTGAGAGGGAAAAACATATTCTCTCTATTCCCATAAAGATAGATTTGTTGTTCTTTTTTGTTTGTCTCAAATTATCAATCACTTTTTTAGAAGAGAGTGATTGATTTTCTGATTTTTAACACACATATTTCATGTACCTTATAATTAACAAAATGATCTACTGCTATTTAAAAGTAAATTTGTCTCTATAGACGGAGGGAGTAAAAATGTATCATATGGAATGGTGAATTAGTAGGAAAAGAAAATAATCATGTTATATGTACAATTTTATTTGACAATCTTGGTTGACAGACACTTGTCAACATCACATCCCTCCATTCCAAAAATAGTTTTTAAAATCAATGGTTCGAATTTTGACGACATCAAGATTGTCAACAAAAATTATACAAATAGTTTAATGCAGAAGAAAAGAATCATGATACATGTACGATTCTATTTGACAATCTTGATTGATAGCTTACCCTAATTTCTTGCGTGTCTTTGAAATTTACCTAGACCACTGTCTTGACACTGGCAGTGGAATCCACACAATGTATTTATATCATTCAATACTTCCTCCAACCCCAACCTCAACCCCCAACAAACTCAACACACGTATATAAGTGACTCTTGCCCCCTTCCCACCCACCCCACCTTATCTATCATAATCATCAAGGCTAATCTTCACTGAACCATGGAGCACAAGTTTCAGTTTTTGGCACTTATTTTCCTCCTAGCAACTTCACATTCATCTGCCCAAATTCTGGCAGTCGAGCAAGGTAATGAACCTAAGGATGTTTGGTCGTACTTCTTAACTAAAAAGTCAGCATTTAAGCACGGCTACTAGTGTTAGTTCTTCTTCATAATCTTTTCTTTAAGGAATCAATGCATAAACTGGCATTTTTTGTGCAGGTGAAGCAGATTCCCAGCTGAACAATGTTGTCCGTAGCAGTACATCTCATGTAAGCAAGGAAAATACAGATTCTTTTCATGTAATTTCTTAGTCTTTTTATCTTGAATCATTTCTTAACATGATTGAAGAGCAGTGCAATTTTTCTGTTCTTAAATATTGTTCGGAATTATGTATTCCGACTTGGGAGTCTAATTCTGATTTACAATGCATTGCAGAAACTGATGGGGCTGGAAGAATATGGAAATGAAGATGAAGATGAAGATGAAGAGTGCTTAAAGAGAAGGATTACTGCGGAGGCCCACTTAGACTACATCTACACTCAGCACCGTAAACCATAATGGCATGTTTGGTGTAGTTGGATCTGATAATAAATGTTAAAATTTTGTATATTGTATGGTTCTGTGTTGAACATTCGAGAAGTGACAATTTGGGAGTTTTTACCCAGTAGTTAAGAGTGAAAAACTTCAAAAGTGTGCTTACTTAAGAATTTTCTAAGAAAAAGTAGGATGTTTCTCTCTACTTTTGAAAAAATTCCCTTGGCATTCTAGAATAGCTTCCACAATTCTTCTTGGAACAATTCGTGGATATCATTTATGACATGTTCGATAGACTGAATTATACAGTAATAAATGAAAAGTAAATTTAAACAGACTTGAATTATACAGTAGTAGATGAAAAGTAAATTAAAATTACCAGTTCTTCTTGTCTGGGTAGAATTGTGTAGTAAATTCCCCTTTCAAAATCAAGAGTTCGAGTAGTTATGAACCCACATTCAAAAAAAAAAAAAAAAGACGATAAATTAAAATTCTAACTATTATCGTATAAAGTGTTGTTTAGGGCTGTGGTATGGTGCAACAAATACATCTTTAGCTTATAATTTATGCAACTTGAACTCACTTTTTAAATTAAAGACCATATCCACAATGTCAAATACTCAACGAAATAGAGACTATGCTAATTACGAAAAAAATAAAGGAAATTGGGCGTTTATGTTTTTCACTATCCAATAGCATAATGTTATTTATTTAGACTGTTGATAGTCCAGAGTCTAGGTTTAATTTAAATGACATTAAATAATTGAACTTCTTAAATGTAAGGATATACGTCTCATTTAAGATGTTTAATAACTTAATTGACATATAAATTGCTAATCATCAACACTTCAGCAATCTAGATAAATAGTATTACTCATCTAATATTAGTATCCTACGTGTCTTGGGGGCATCGAGTTCAAGAAAAAAAATGAAAATGGAACAAATAGTAGCAGTTACAAAGAAAAAAGAAAGATATGAACATAGAATTTACGGTGATTTGGCCTTAAATAGAATTTGGATATGACCTTGAATAGACCTACATCTATAGGAGTATAGCAAATTTTATTTGTTAAACGGACGATTCCATTTTTTGACTCTTCTATTTTCCTCTCCCTCTCGTAACTCTTAATTATGAGATACTTAAACTATTAATTATGAAATTTTCCCTATAAACAATGATAAATGGACAAAGACTGAGAACACACCTCGGCCCAGCATATGATTACTCTCCAATTTTGACACAAAGGACACTCAAACAAAAACCAACCCCAACCTCAACCCCCAACAAACTCAACACACGTATATAAGTGACTCTTGCCCCCTTCCCACCCACCCCACCTTATCTATCATAATCATCAAGGCTAATCTTCACTGAACCATGGAGCACAAGTTTCAGTTTTTGGCACTTATTTTCCTCCTAGCAACTTCACATTCATCTGCCCAAATTCTGGCAGTCGAGCAAGGTAATGAACCTAAGGATGTTTGGTCGTACTTCTTAACTAAAAAGTCAGCATTTAAGCACGGCTCCTAGTGTTAGTTCTTCTTCATAATCTTTTCTTTAAGGAATCAATACATAAACTGGCATTTTTTGTGCAGGTGAAGCAGATTCCCAGCTGAACAATGTTGTCCGTAGCAGTACATCTCATGTAAGCAAGGAAAATACAGATTCTTTTCATGTAATTTCTTAGTCTTTTTATCTTGAATCATTTCTTAACATGATTGAAGAGCAGTGCAATTTTTCTGTTCTTAAATATTGTTCGGAATTATGTATTCCGACTTGGGAGTCTAATTCTGATTTACAATGCATTGCAGAAACTGATGGGGCTGGAAGAATATGGAAATGAAGATGAAGATGAAGATGAAGAGTGCTTAAAGAGAAGGATTACTGCGGAGGCCCACTTAGACTACATCTACACTCAGCACCGTAAACCATAATGGCATGTTTGGTGTAGTTGGATCTGATAATAAATGTTAAAATTTTGTATATTGTATGGTTCTGTGTTGAACATTCGAGAAGTGACAATTTGGGAGTTTTTACCCAGTAGTTAAGAGTGAAAAACTTCAAAAGTGTGCTTACTTAAGAATTTTCTAAGAAAAAGTAGGATGTTTCTCTCTACTTTTGAAAAAATTCCCTTGGCATTCTAGAATAGCTTCCACAATTCTTCTTGGAACAATTCGTGGATATCATTTATGACATGTTCGATAGACTGAATTATACAGTAATAAATGAAAAGTAAATTTAAACAGACTTGAATTATACAGTAGTAGATGAAAAGTAAATTAAATATATATATATATATATATATATAAATATGTCTATATATATAACACAAAATGCAAGGAAAATTTCCAGTACTCCCAGAATATGGGAGTATGGAGTATTCCGCACTCTCAATCATTTTTTAACTGATGTGTATTAAATAATTGAGACTCACTATTTTATTAAGATCTTGATATATAAATATTATTTAAATAGTAATACAAAGTGATTTTGTCTACAAAGGAGACATTTCTTTTGGAGTGACAGACATTAAAAAAAAAAAAAAAAAGACGATAAATTAAAATTCTAACTATTATCGTATAAAGTGTTGTTTAGGGCTGTGGTATGGTGCAACAAATACATCTTTAGCTTATAATTTATGCAACTTGAACTCACTTTTTAAATTAAAGACCATATCCACAATGTCAAATACTCAACGAAATAGAGACTATGCTAATTACGAAAAAAATAAAGGAAATTGGGCGTTTATGTTTTTCACTATCCAATAGCATAATGTTATTTATTTAGACTGTTGATAGTCCAGAGTCTAGGTTTAATTTAAATGACATTAAATAATTGAACTTCTTAAATGTAAGGATATACGTCTCATTTAAGATGTTTAATAACTTAATTGACATATAAATTGCTAATCATCAACACTTCAGCAATCTAGATAAATAGTATTACTCATCTAATATTAGTATCCTACGTGTCTTGGGGGCATCGAGTTCAAGAAAAAAAATGAAAATGGAACAAATAGTAGCAGTTACAAAGAAAAAAGAAAGATATGAACATAGAATTTACGGTGATTTGGCCTTAAATAGAATTTGGATATGACCTTGAATAGACCTACATCTATAGGAGTATAGCAAATTTTATTTGTTAAACGGACGATTCCATTTTTTGACTCTTCTATTTTCCTCTCCCTCTCGTAACTCTTAATTATGAGATACTTAAACTATTAATTATGAAATTTTCCCTATAAACAATGATAAATGGACAAAGACTGAGAACACACCTCGGCCCAGCATATGATTACTCTCCAATTTTGACACAAAGGACACTCAAACAAAAAGCCCGATTAATAGCCCAGAGAATCATCTCAATAATAGAAGACCTCTTCAAAATTCAATATATTTCAGTTTACACCACTAATCTTACAACACGAGAATGACGCATTTGAATTCAAGACAGTATCGATGAAAACACAATCCCATGTTCTCGCTTGTTGAGCATGTTGTTCACAGTAAAACTCTAATTTTCGGGATCATGATCATGTCAATGGAAAGTTAATTTCAGGCGAAATGAGATGAAATACTAGAATGCTTTGTCTTTAGCATATTACAACCATTCACCAAGTATTTTGAAAAAAGTAAACTAGAAATGTTATAAAGGTGAATTGGCCATGCTCCTACCAGTTGGATCACAACATCTAGAGAAGTGGACCATGTCGAGTCTGGCTCTCTAGGCCAACAGTGAGTTATTT